AATCTTTCTGTAATGAAACCCATATGTCATGGGCGAAAAGTGCAAAGCCCTGGCAGAGAGGGTTGGTCTCATGAGAGATTCTGCACCCAATCTCGTTAACCAGGGTGCCTCTGGTAATCCCTCATCCCCTCACTGGTGAGAAATCAATCTGTACCACTGAATCTTTTTCAACCAGCCACCAAGAAAATTTACTGCAGAGGAGGCAGTTTGGGGATAGTCATTGTGGAAAGGGAGCCAGAAGCAAGGCTAACTGTATATGGAAGAATTGGAGAATCTAAAGAAGAGATTGTATTAAGCCACACACTACCTTCAGAGCAGGCAGGATGCAGTCCTCCCTTCAGCCCTGACCCTTCTAAGCATACCCAGGTATTTACAGCTGCCATGAACCTGACAGCCCTAGGGAAGCTATGAAGGGGGTAATAGAAACAGCATAAACCTGGAAGCTGATTGTAGTTTATCCATTTGCTGTCTTTAAATGTGTACAAGTAGTCTCCTTTCCCACATTCTCTGCAGCTGTTCACGCATTCACCCTATGGTGACAGTCTGTATTGTGACTTTCTCCGTTCATGGTCTGTGCACTGCAATAGAAGGGCCTGTCAATCATGACTTGACATGGAGGTCCTGCTCCTCTTCTGCACGGCATACAGTGTGGTGGCTGGTGATCAGTGTGTCCCTCTTGGCATCATTATTGGAATATGGTAGCAGGGTTGCCTTCCTGTTGAAGCTCATCATCCTAGAGAGTTAATCCAGAATTAAAAAATAGTTAAGAAATGTTATTGACTCAAGGTAAAACTCTAGCAATCTTATTGTATCTAGGATTGTCTTATAACACAGTGTGAGAAAGGAGAACCAGGAGAAGAGAGGAACTAGAAGTGTCAAACTGGGGAGCACGTACTCCTACCATGGCCATTAATGCAAGAACCGTACCAAGCTGTAACTAGTGGGAGAAGGGATGGAACCAGGCAGGGAAGTAGAAATGTCCTCCTCTTTTCTGTAAGCAAGCCAGGGACTTCTCTAAAGGTTTTTCCCTAAAGAGATTTTAAATCCTTGGTGGAAGTTTTTTAGTAAAATACATTTACATATAAAACCCTGCTGGAAGGGGTGTGTGTATGAACATGTGAGCGTGCGTGTGTGTGTGTGTATGTGTAAGAGGAATACAGAATAGTAGCAGAAGACTGTCTTCCTACTCCTAATGGGATTTTGTAGCAGCATGTGCGAGTTTGTTTCAGAAGTCAAAAATGAACAGATGTTGGTATAAATTACCTCTGTGTCTGATGTCTTGCAAATTAAAAGCGCGGTTGGCATCACTAAACAATTTCACCAGGTTTCGGGGGGTGCGGCTAGCGGGTGGTGATTACTGTAGCAGGTCGGTAAGAATCTTCACACTGCAGCAAAGCAGGAAGACAAGGATAAAGAAATGAATAAAATAAAGAGTATGTGAATTAATCCAAGATGTTAACATCTCCGAAAACAAGTGAACAGGGAGGGCTCATGCTCTGAAGCTGCCCCTGACCCACAGCAATTTCTCTGTGCACAAAGAGGGGTTGGTGCTTAGGATGTGATTTATAGGGCACAGCCCTCTTTTAGGGAGCAGCTATGTCACGAATTCGTATATCTCCTATATGGGACTGGCGAGTAGGAAAACTTTCTCCCCTCCCATGTAGAAGATGAGGTCTTTGAATTACTTCTACTTTTACGGTGGTTTCCTGCAGCTCTGTGTACTTAGATTAGGTTGAAGGGGGAGGAATGATTGAGTGGAGAGAGGGTTGTTAAAAAGGATTGGTTAAATTCAAGGAGAGCTTGCCATTGAGAGACTTTGGAATCTGTTTATTTTGCCTTTTAAATCCTTTTGATCCCTCAAATACCTTGGGTCTTTTTAAATCTTACATTTATTTATTTATTTATTTTATTTATTTATCGTACTCATACACAGAGTACGAGTGGAGGAGAGGCTGAGAGAGAAGGAGACACAGAATCCAAAGCAGGCTCAGGCTCTGAGCAAGTGTTCAGCATAGAGCCTGATGCAGGGCTCGAACTCACGAACCACGAGATCATGACCTGAGCCGAAGTCAGACACTTAACTGACTGAGCCACCCAGGCACCCCAAATCTTACATCTTAAAATATTGGTCATTCTCCCATTTTAAGAAAAAACAGAAAAGAATCAGGAGATGTGAAGGGCAGCAGGCAGAAATAATTAGTAAGATCAGTACAGTGCTCCTGGCCCAGGATTTTTGGAGCAAGGTTCTGTTCTACCCAGCAGAGTTTTGTAATACCCGTGTCTGGTTTCCAGAGTACCTGCTTCTAGCCATGTTGCAGGATCATTTGATTCTGTGTAAAACTCCTTAATAAGCACTAGAGAGTAGGCAGAAAATCCATCCAATAGAAATAAATGATGAGACCCACTCTGGCCAAAAGTATAAGTCAGTTCCTGTAAGATCAGGCTGAGGGAAAAGATTCCAAGAAACAGGATTTTTAACATTGCTAGTCGCCTCCTTTATCACAGCTCACTCATTCATTCATTCATTCAGGAAACACTTGAGTGTGGAAGCAACAGACTACTCCCCCTCCTCTGCAAGGTAGTGTGTTAATGGTGCCATTGATACCAAGAATGATCAGTGCTGAATACCCAAGAGAAAAAGCAAGGCAAGTGACATTAGTATGCTACTCATTCTACAGATATAGGAACTGAGGCTCAGAGGTCTTGCCCAGCCCAAGGTGCCACCCAGTTACTAAACTGGAATGAGTTCAGATCCTGTGTTATCTGAAAGAAGTCCATGCTTCCTCCCCTGAGCAAGAAAGTACTTGTTAGGATTTCTCTAGGGTAGTTAGTTAGTCCTTGCCTCCCACCTTCATCTCTCCATTAATCTGGCATTACTTCCATCAAAGGAAATTATTTTTCTTGCCAAATAAATAAGATAAATTTAGGGAGGAAAAGATCCCACAGTGTAGAGAAGGAAGCACTCTGGGCAATTAATAAGTCTTACTGTTTGTGTCTAGAAAGGAAGGAAACTTAACATTGTTGTGTTCCTACTTGGAATAGTTCTTTTATATATTTTCATTCACCCACCCAACATTTATTTAGCAGATACTAGGTCTAGCTCTGTACTAGTTGCTGGTAATAGGAAGAATAACGAGGAGCGCCTGGGTGGCTCTATCGGTTGAGCGTCCAACTCTTGATTTCTGTTCAGGTCATCATCCCATAGTCATGGGATCCACCCGGCATTGGGCTCTGAGCTGAGTATGGAGCGTGCTTAAAATGCTCGCCCTCTGCCCCTCTCTCCTGCTTGCGCACTCTTACTCTCTAAAAATAAAATAAATAAAAAAGAGTAATGGAACAGTCTCTGCCCCCAATTCTTAACCTTTAGTACAAGAAGACAAGTATATAAACAAATACTTGCAGGTCTTACAGTTACTCTATATGTATAGGGTGTGGTATAAATCCACCAAGGAAGGACTGGTCAGTTTGATTTGAACCATTATTTGTGTGCATGTGACACTTAGCACTGGGGCTTCCATTCCTAGGTAAAGGGATGTCCTTTCCCTCTGTGGGAGCTCCAGAATTTGTAAGAGATGAGGAATATTATGGACTGCAGTTACCAGAAGCTTCCTGTGGTTACATAGTTTGTATTGTTTTATTTCTCTGTTGTACAAATAAACCAGGAACTATTAAATGTTGGTAGGGAGGGGGAGTAGAGCCCATTCATCTAGCACCATCTCTGGGCTCGAGTAAAGCAGCAAGGAGGCTAGGGCGAAGGTCCATCTCATTCTGCAAGTGCCTTTCCAGCCACCTCACTGATTGGCCAGGATGGGGACATATACTTAAGAGGCCACAGGCACAGCCTGCCGTGTGCCCACTGCATGGTTCCAGAAGACTTCTGGCCTCCACGACCAACCATTAGACACTTTCAGCACTGCTAAATCTATTTAAGAGAACCCAAAAGATGATTCTGTGGGAATGAGGATGAAGGGGGTATTCTAATACATACACTTTTGGGGGATTTGTTTGACAGAGCCAAAACAGTGAGCTTCTAGAGTGTCCCTTGTAATTGAGAAATGTTTTACTTTCATTTTGAAGCCTCATATGTAGGAAAGTAGCTGTATAAACCCTCTCGTAACTACAGCATTCAAAGATTGATGGTGCTGAAAGTCAGAGAAAGACACATAAACCTTGCCTGACTATATTAAATATCTAAGGACTGACAATGCCAAGAGAGAGAAGACCAAAGCTCTATAAACCCTACTTTATTACACCATCCGCAGATGAACTGCACTGAGGGAATATAAACTCCGTTAATACTACAGCATCCAGGAACTACCACTGCTGGGAGATGGGGTAAATGATCTCTCATTTTGATTTGACATTATAAATGTCCAGATACCAACAACCCAAAGAAGACTCTAGTCTTGGTTAGATTGTAGTCTTCAAAAGCAACCCCCCTGACATAGTGAACATAAGTATTAGGTTACATTCTTGAGAGAGAGAGAGACACAAGTTTAGGGGAATTCCCGGGGCGGGGGGGGGTTAAAATTATTTATTTGGGAGGTGGAGAGCACAAACTGGGTTGAAGGAGCAGAGAGAGAGAAAGAGAGAGAGAGAGAGAGAGAGAGAGAGAATGAGTCCCAAGCAGGCTCCGCACTGTAAGCACAGAGCCCAGTACAGGGCTTGATCCCACCAACTGTGACATGACCTAGCTGAAAGCAAGTCAGATGCTTCACCTACTGAGCCACCCAGGCACCCCTCCCTAGGGATTTTTTCAAGGTAGATGATAAATTTCCCTGTTGGCCTGTGTCTTGTGACTTCAGAAGAGCTTTGTATGGTTTTAGTTGTCAGTAGCGGTTCATTTTTCCCTCTTTTTGGAAGTTAGTGGTGACCGAGTGTGTTAGGGTCGCACCTTTGTATACAATTTAAATCAACCCGCATTTTTAAAATCATATTTTCTTGAGAGCTCTTTTTCAAATTTGGGGTTTTCATTGATCTTCCATTTGTTGTGATTCCAGCCAGAGAGATGACAAGGGGGAAATTTCTCAACATTCTGGAGAAGCCCAAGAAGTAGCAGCTGCTTGTGTACAGGATGTCCTGGGGGCCGGAACCAAGCTCCCCTCCCAGCGCAGCTCCGACGATGTGCAACTCTCTGCTTCCTGGCGAGAGGCCGGAGGGTGCACCTCCAGGACTGACCCTCTCCCCTGTTCCTGGCATTCTGCGCCTCGAAGGACATTCGGCGGCAAGAGAGAAATCTGCTTTACAGATTCTATACAGAAGGATCAAGTGCAGTTGTTCGATCAGCTTCCAGACTTTGACTGGCTCTGCCTTGGATGTGGGCAACACCAGGAGGCGTATGTATCATTCTTAAAGGTCAAAGTCCTGCTCTCTCGTTTCAAGAAGTGATTCAGGAGCCCTAGGATTTTACAATTGATTTGATTTGGTGATGGCAAAGTCAGTTGTGACACGTTGTTTGGATGGGTTCTTTTGACTTGTACTTGATATCTTAGGAAGTATTTATGATGAGAAGACCAGAGACCAATCAGATTCTGAAACAGACCAGGCAACCTGACCTGTGAAATCTCCAGTATATAATGGGTTCCAAGAATCCCTAGCTGGAGAAGCCAGAATCTTTTTGAAATGCACACCTGCTTTAAAAGTTCTGTACCTCCCACAATAGCCCCATCCCCCAGTGCCTTTCATTCCCCACCCTCCATTCTGATTCCAGGAAAGAGGATCCCTGTGTATGAGTCCCTACTGGGATTAGCTAGTGAAAGTCTTACACAAGGTTGTATCGGATTCTAGATCTCAAAGACTGAGTTAAAGATGAAAGAAAGGACTTTTGAGTTCTAGCTAGTCTGTTACAGTTTCAAGCAAGAGTCATTATGGCCTAAAAGGTAGGAGAAGGGAGTTCTTTGCAGGAGTCCCCATTTGATGAAAAACTAGAAACTCTGATCTGAAAGGAATGTGCTGTGGAACGGTGGCAGTATATTGTCCCCTTGTCCCCTCTTCATGGCACGTATCAGATACTTCACCAAGGTAAAAGAAACACACACACACACACACACACACACACACACACACACACGAAAGGAAAGGGAGGATTTCCTGACTTAAATACAACTCTTATAGAGCTCTTTGCCAGTCTTCTGTCCCTGTGTTAAAACCTGAAAACACAACCCATGCAAAAAATTGATTACACATGTTCTCTGTATTCTGTCTTATGAGCCAGCCCCCAGCCTCTAATGTTTTGTGAAGTACATGAGGTTTCCTGAACTTCATGCAGAGAACATCCATGTGGTAGTTGTCTGATGGTGTCTGGATATAAGGAAAGCTGTGGGCAAACTGCAGCACTGTTCATTTTAATAGCTGGTCTTTTAACCATTTTCTGGCATTTGTGCCTTGTTTCCCATGCTAGAATTAGTGTTGGATTTTTCTCTCATTTTTGCCATCCATGCAGTATTATGTATTGATAAGGGGGACAAATTGAGCACAAGTCACAAAGAAGAAGTATGAGAAAAAACATTCTGCCTGGATGCAATATAGGAATTCAAGCTGGAGAGGCATAGATTTTAAGTTAAGCTTATTATTGACATTCCTTTTTTTCTAAATACGGTTGAAGTGGGAGAGGAGGGGAGAGAGAGAGAGGGAGGGGAGGGGAAGGCAAAAAATAGTGCCATAACGTCACATTCTTTCTTTGCTCTGTTTTTGAGAGTTGATGACATCTGGCACTTTTAAGTGCTTGGGGAAATTGAGAAATACATGGAGAATATGAGGATACCTCCCCAAAACCAACTCAGGTCTGTAACCCGAGGCTTTGTAGTTGGTTTTCTGGTCTGCCTTGGCCTTTCTTTTACTGTCATCTTATTCACCAGCACTTAATGTAAGTAGGTGTTTTAGAATTGCGATATTTATTGGTTTTGTATTTGTTGTCCTTAGAAAAGTTAATGATGTATTTTTATATTGATATTATAAATTGATGTATAATGTGTGTGTGTGTGCTTGAGGGTGTTAGAGGACTGTGCTTTGTATATGATGGTTTCTGTGTCGTCATAATAAATATGTCCCTTTTATAGGAGAGTGAGTTTTTCCTCAAAGGGCCACATTGCACATTTAAAGCATACACCTCATCAGAAAGTACAACTGTAATGATAAATAACCTGTTGGTCTCCTCACTGATGTCACAGTGGGTGGTGTGGGCTTTATGACCATCTAGTACTTGGTCTCCCAGCTTCCAGTCTATTCTACCAGCCATCCAAGCTCATTACAGCTCAACTCCTTAAAGTATTTTTTTTTTTTAAGTTTTAGTTAAGTCATCTCTGCACACAACATGGGGCTCAAACTCACAACCCAAAGATCAAGAGTCACGTGCTCCTCTGGGGCACCTAGGTGGCTCAGTCCAGTGAGCGTCTGACTTCGGCTCAGGTCATGATCTCACGGTTCATGGATTCAAGCCCCACGTCAGGCTTTGTGCTGACAGCTGGCTCAGAGCCTGGAGCCTGCTTCAGATTCTATGTCTCCCTCTCTCTCTGACCCTCCCCTGCTCATGCTCGCTCGCTCTCTCTTTCTCTCTCTCTCTCAGAAATAAATAAAAACATTTTTAAAAAGTTTTTTTTTTTTTTAAAGACACTTTATTTAAAAATTGTAGGGGCACCTGGGTGGCTTAGTTGGTTAAGTGTCCGACTTCGGCTCAGGTCATGATCTCATGGTTAGTGTGGACGTCGGGCTCTGTGGTGACAGCTAGCTCAGAGCCTGGAGCCTGCTTCAGATTCTTGTCTCCCTCTCTCTCTGACCCTCCCCTGCTCATGCTGTCTCTCTCGCTCGCTCGCTCTTGCTCCCTCTCTCTCTCTTTCAGAAATAAATAGAAACATTAAAATAAATTTTTTTAAAAGACACTTTATTTAAAAATTGTAGGGGCACTTGGGTGGCTCAGTTGGTTAAGCGTCCAACTTTGGCTCAGGTCATGATCTCATGGTTCGTGAGTTTGGGCCCCACGTTGGGCTCTGTGCTGACAGCTCAGAGCCTGGAGCCTGCTTCAGATTCTGTGTCTACTTCTCTCTTTGACCCTCCCCTGCTCACACTGTCTGTCTCTCAGAAATAAATAAAACATTTAAAAAATTTTTTTAAAAAGAGTCATGTGCTCCTCCAACTGAGCCAGCCAGGTGCCTCTCAACTCCTCAAAGTATTACTTAAAAATCTTTAATACCTCCTCATGTCTAATAATAAAGCCTGGATCTCTTATCCTGGCATTTAAAACTCTGCATATAATCCTAATCAACCTTCTTCTCCAGTATATGAAGTCTCTGTTCCATTTAATCTGAACAATTCGCATTTCCTCACTTGAGTGCCTTTGCTCATGCCATTTGAGTTCCTAGAAAGTCTTGAATCCCTTTTGCAGGTATCAAACCTACTCCTTCCTATTAACACCGGATGAACCAGTTGGAAATACTCCTTCCCCCTGCATTCCTACAACATTGCTGTATACCATCCTTACAACTCTTTCCAACCTAGCCTTATATTTAAGTGATCTGAGTGTGCATCTGGTTATTCTTCTGCATCATCTTTGAACTGGAAGGGTCAGTACCTACTTGTGGACTTCCAGTTAAACATGATGGACTGAAAACAAGTATTTCCCTGCCACCTACTAAAACCCTTGCTGTGACTTCCTTTTCAACTCTGCTCAAGAACTAGAGAAAAGCAAGTATTAGTATAAGTGCTGTCCCCCCGCAACAGTTTACCTGCCCTAGAGCAGAGTATCATGCCCTTTTAGAGAAACATTCCGTTTGAGGAAAGCAAATTGCTTGGCATCAGTGGCTCATCATTGATTTCCAAGAAAACTAGGTGGGCAGTAGATTTCTGTGATCTGGAAAAGCACGGCTGGCTGGCTGGCTAACTCAATGGAGACAGCATTCAGACTGTTCTGTTCTAAATCTTTATAGAAAGTAGGGCACCTGGGGGGCTCAGTCAGTTAAGCGTCTGACTTCGGCTCAGGTCCTGATCTCATGGTTCGTGAGTTCAAGCTCCAAGTCGGGCTCTGTGCTGACAGCTGAGAGCCTAGAACCTACTTTGGTTTCTGTGTCTCGCCCTCTCTCTGCCCCTCCCGTACTAACGCTGTCTCTCTCTCAAACATAAACATTTTTAAAAAATGAAAAATTTAAATCTTTAGAGAGTATTTTCCCAGTAAACAATTGTGTATCCTTTGCCCACAGGCTGGTTTTGCCTTTCCCTTTGCCATTCTGAATGCCTTCCTTGTAGAAGCACCTGTTGTTGACTGTGAGCAGCACTGTCTTGAGAAGAATAGCATTGGTGCGTGGAGGCGCATTTCCAAACTCCTAGTCAAGACTTTGCTCACCGGTCGTCTTACTGCTTCCTGCTCGCTTCAGGCTCAGATTCTTGACCTCTGCCGACTTGCTTCGCCTTCCTTCCATCATTGGAGCACTAAAAGGCTGCTAACTGTATTAATATCAAGCTGCCATTATTAATTTCTCTTTAACTTTTTGTTAGTCATATATCATATCTTTTAAACGACCCTTGGTAACTGCTGCTTATTCATGGCCCTCTGGCTGCAGCTTAATGGAGCTCCTCTGTCTCCTGGGCAGTGAAAGTAGAGCTGGTGAGTCATTGCATTGCCCCTACACTTAGGAAGGGTGTTCGGACTTCCACAGGAGCTTTGCAATGAAACCAAGAAATTTCCTTCCCAGTACGATGCTCTGGTCCCTCTGTTTCCTCCAGGATTCAGGCCTCACAGAAAAGAAACAGGCAGAACAGGAAGGGAGGAAATGGACTGGTGGTAGAGGTGGATGGTCCCAGCAGTCACAGAACACGATTTCTTACCAGCTTTCAGCTTCTACACAAAATCCACCTACAAGCATTTGGTTATATTCTCCAGTTTCTGTTTTCTTCATCCTTTGCAAGTTGTAAGGCCCCTGCATGGACTTCATTTCACCAGAGAGCCTTGTACCCCCCACCCCAAAGAGTAGCCTCTCCGAGTTTGTAAGTTCTGACTGACCTGAAACTGACTTTTCCTATCTGTTTAGGCTTTTTTGGCACTTTGGGGATGTGTCTCCGACTGTGCCTAACGAGGCCACCAGCCTTCCCACTCTGCCCAACACTTTTTCTTCATGGGCAGGGTCGGTCATTTGGGGGCTTCAGGTGGCACCAGGTGCAGCTGTGAGGCTCATGGTTGGCGCAAGTGCTGGCAGAGCCTGTTAATTAGCACATGAACACCCCAATGCTCCATTAGCCAGGCCAGGCATTTGGAACCTTCCCCTCCTGTGGGCCCCTTCCTCCTAATGAGAGCTGGAAGAAGGGCCCTCACAAAACACTGCCTCAGAATAATATTCCGCTTTGTCCCCACCAGTAACCAGGGCTGACAGGATCACTCTGTCCATTTCTCTTCTAATTAGCACAATTCCAGCATGGCCTGAGCCAGCAAATGGAGAAAAGCGATCAAAAGCGATCGGACAACCGTACCGAATCACAAACATAAAGAGGGCCATTCCCTGTAATTAGGTGAGACAATTCCTCAGTCTTTTCTCGGCTGGAGTTTGCCGCTAAGACTCTTGCTGTTTGGGTCCCAGTAACACAAGTTACATGTCTCCCTGGGACACTAATAAGCCCCAAATTGTCTTCCGCTTCACACAACTCTAACCAGAGGACAGATGCCAGGGGGAGGGGGGACACACTGAGGGGACAGGGTGTCTAAACAGCTAAGCAGCTGCTGCAATGTCTCCCCGACTCCAAAAGGCAGACCCTGGGGCCATGGGCAGAGAGGGAAGAGGCCGTTGGTTTGAGAGAAGTGCTCCAGGTGCAGCCTCGTCCCATTGCTTGGGCTGCTGTCTATAAGTGCTGAGAATTCCAGAACCTCCAGAGAGACCCGCCCTCTGCTACTTGCCTCGCCCTGTTCATTTGCCACCTCTTGCCTCTTGTTCCCTTTTGGTCTCCTCATCCCCACTCCCACATGTCCCCGCTGGTGGCCTCATGGGCAGCTATAACTGGCACCATCCCTGGCCCTGCATTGAAGGCCTATACACCTGTAGTCCACAATCTCGAGGCTAGTACCCGTGTGTGAATTCCGCTCTCAAAGAGCTCATGACCTGCAAGGGGCCCTCACTTCCAGCACCCATCGCCTCTGGGTCTTTGGCTCTACTGTAGCCCCTGCTTTCTATCTCATTCTCTCTCCTGGAAGATCCCTGTTTTTTAAAACAGAAAAGTGGCTCATCAACTGCCAGGGCAAGAAGCCACAACTGGCCACACTCCATGTGGCTCAGAGGTTGGCCACTTAATAAACAGAAATTGCTCCCACAGGACTGCAGCCCATTACAGGGATTATGAGGGGCGATATAGCCATGAACTTGGTCATAGCCAGGGACAAAGGAATGCAGGGGAGAGTGGCAGTTTGGAATCTCAATTAAACTCAAGCTCTGAGCTGAGTTGGACTCACACATATTTTCATCTTATCCTGCTCTCTGCTTTCTGTTTTGATCTACACTCGATGCTTCTGAAAGTGACCTCCAGTACCAGAAAACAATTATCTAGAATCCAAGGAGCCAGAAAGCTCAAGTAATCAGAGTTACTTTGTTGTTTTTCCATCTTCCCTGAGACACACAGAAGTAACAATAAGATTTGACTTTTTAAGTAACTTTTGGGAATTGTCAAAGAATCGGATCCAAATTTGTTCAGTCTCGTATAGTTTCTTTGGGTATAAACAGAGCTTAGAATAGTACCTGGCACATAAGTGCTTAAATTGTTGGAAGTGTGAACTGCACCATGATACTCCGTGGTCATAACCTTGTGAGTCTAAGGTGAGAGGTTGGATCTTGAAAGAGAGGCAGGGTGTGGTCATGCAAGTCACTTCTCTCTGTGCCACAGTGTCCTTGGGACCTGTTCTACTTTAAAGAGGCAGGCAAGCATTATGCATAAGGGCATACACCCTGATGTCAGACTGCCTGGGTCCAAATTCTGTTTTTGCCATCTACTAGCCATGTGACCATGAGTAAATTGCCTAATCTCTCTGTGCCTTAGTTTACCTTTTATTTTTTTTTTAATGTTTTATTTATTTCTAGGAGAGAGA